GTCATAACCCCTCGATTTCCAGTTTTGTTTTGTAGAAAACATGGAAACACCAAAGACGCTTTAATATGTTGTGCGTTTTAATAGACCGGTGACGACCGCACAGAGTAGCATTATAACAGAACTTGTATCTAGTATGATAAAACAGCGCTGCTTTACCCCACATACGCACGACCGGAAGGAGCGGAAGCGGTCGACTGTGGCATAATAAAAGCTCCGCTGCTTTCAAGCCGTGTGTCACACTCGTTCAGCGCCTCGTTTCGCTTCGACGGCTTTCAGCCTCACCCTGCTTCATTCTACTACGTTAATAAATCATTAGCTCATCCACGAACATGATTTCTGCCCGAGTCCCATCGGATTGCATCGGCTGTGGGGATGAAGACGACAACTCCCATGATTCCACACTGTCATCAAACTACGCCTTTGTCTCTTTGTTTATTTCGAATACGCGCCCTCTAGCGGCGAAAATTACATATTGTGCCTTTAAACGAGGTATGAAGAATGGGCCCCAGAAGCAGTAACGCTAGCTTTAACCATGGTGTTGTGGCAGAAATAGTCGAATGTTATTACATTGTTCATTTCAGGGTTTGTACAACCTTTTGAGAGAGAAATTCAAGCAATTTTTAATGACTTACAAGCATTTCACACAACTGTTTCCAGCACTTTAAAGCTCCAAAATGATACAATTTGAATGTTATTTTCAAAGGGATGACCAAAATATACTGTGGTGAACAAACACTTACGTAAAATTAAAAAATATATCAAATCACCATTATAACCTGTAGATGGCAGCAGAGGAGCACTTATTGGCTTATTAGTCATTTATTTATACTTTTTCCTTTATATTTTGAAATGATAAAATAACTATTATAAAATCACTATTATAAAATATCAAATCAAGAAGTTTTGCTCTTTTTGTGTATAAGAAAAGTCACAAAGTGCTTTGAAAAACAAACTTTTCTTCAATTTGCGACTAAATTGCACATAATCACTGAAGTTGTTGGTCAGTTCCATACAAGACTATAGAAGAATAATGGTACATTTAATAAGAGTACAATATATACTTTTTCTACATAAAAATTCGATTTTGCCCATGTTACTGTTGTTAATGAAATAAATATTGTAAGCTTCCCAACTCAAGCCTAGTGCTTTACTGTCAAATGTGTATAAACATGAAATGAACATGTAATATTATTAGTAACTGCACTTATTAATGCAAAACGATAGTAATTTTATCATATTTATTTGTCATATCCCTCTGAAATTAATTTCTGAGTTAAGTCTATTTATTATCAAAGCATTTGTCAGTAATACAGTTAAAATGGGGAAAATATGTGAACGATTGCATTGCAGGCCAATTTAAGGTGTGCCCCTAAATTTGCTGATTGTGCTCCTAAAAGTTTTTCAAATAGATTTACTGTTTAATGCACTTTGTCATTTTTCTAGTTAGTTACCTAGCGGCTAATGAACATTCACTGAAAATAGCGGAGCCATAGCACAACTCGCATATGAACTAAAACAATGTTCCCCCACAAGTAACTTGTAATTGTTCGCTTCAGCCACTAGAAGGACAAAAGTTACGTAGCATAGCTTTAATATTACTTGGTATAAAGATGTTGTCCATCTGTTTTCAGGGGCTTTTTCCCAGTAGCGGTTGGCTTCATTAGGCGGGTGCCTATTCTTGGATCTTTACTGAATCTTCCTGGTATCAGTGGGGTAAGTCAACCACAGTTTGCGGACTCTTTTGTCACTAGTTTGGTATCTTGTGCTTGCGTTAGTGACTGTCACATGACTACAATAATGTTCTTCTGTTTCTCTTTTAGTTAGTGGATAAAGTGGGCGAGAGCAACACCATGGTATAACAGTTTAGTATTTTCTTTTAGTTTTCTATGAGTGGCTCATATTTATATTTGTCATAATAGTGCTTCTGGCTCGGCGTCTCGCTGGCCAACATTTCTGAACGACAGATGAGATTTTTGATACTTTACCTGTGAAGAAGTTCAAGTGTTTTTTCTGGGACTGATTACCAAACCAAGTCAGGCGCTGTTTTTGTTGCTGCATCACATGTCTCGCTCCAGGGGGCGACGGGGACCACTGACCCCCTAAATGACCACAAGATGGGCGGATGACGAAGTTCCATTGAACGAACCATAACTGAAAGGAATCACTGGGTTCTGAATGAAGTCGTTACTGTTTTTTATTGCGCTTTTATGTGCCAACTGTTCTGTTTTGCTTTTTTTATTTGTCAAAATCTAATTCTGACTTTTTCCACATGAGCGCCACCTAGTGGAGCGGAGACGGTTTCGTCTCTTCACGCTCACGAGGGAAATTAAGCGACCTACGTGACATGCTGTTATTAGACATGACTGACTTGTTTAAGTATTTGTAAATACTTCAAATGTGAGACTAATGTACATTTTTACCAACAAAGATCCTGTTTAATAAATGGATTATATCCTTGACAGGTCTACTTGTCTGGTGTTAAACTGTGATAGACATCACATTTAAAGCCTTATATCAGCGCTCGATGCAAATATTACACAAAGATTGTATATATTGCTAGCATGTGGTTTACATTTTGCACTTTCATTCAACATTTAGTGAGTACATTGACTAGTTCCTGTAATTAACAGTCAGTTGGAAGTGTAACAGTGTCAATCAAACGTTTGGACATGCCTTTATAAAGTTCTTTATGACTATTTTTCACATTTAGTGATCAAAACATGACACAAATGAAAAAAAATAAAAATAAGATTCTTCGTCTAGATTCCAGCTATGATCATTCTGGACTTTCATGAGGTGCATCATGGGATGCTAGAAAACACTTGAGCATGTAATATAAACGCTTGATGATGCTTTTCCTTGCAATCCGCTCCAATGCATTTCCTTTTTGAATCAAAAAATGTTAGTTTTGCAAGTTAATTTATATGTTGGCACAATTTTATTTTTTGGATCGAAAGGTTTTTAAGATCACAAATCATAGATTCTGTCAAGTGTGTCCAAACTTTTGATTTGTAGCGTATAGTGTTTGCTATATTTCACCATCAGACACCAAGATCTGTTTTCACACAAAGTGCTAATCTGACAATCACGTTTTCTATAATTCCTGATTGTTTTAAGGAAACGGTTCACCCAAAAATGAAAATTTGCTGAATATTTACTCACCGTCAGGCCATTCGAGATGTAGATGGGTTTGTTTCTGCATCAGATTTGGAGAAATGTAGCATTACATCACTTGCTCACCAATGGATCCTCTGCAGTGAATGGGTGCCGTCAGAATGAGAGTCCAAACAGCTGATAAAAACATCACAATAATCCACAAGAAATCCACACCACTCCAGTCCATCAGTTAATGACTTGTGAAGTGAAATGCTGTGTTTGAAAGAAACAAATCCATCATCAAGATTTATAATCACTGGATTTCTCGTGGATTATTGTGATGTTTTTATCAGCTGTTTGGACTCTCATTCTGACGGCACCCATTCACTGCAGAGCATCCATTGCTGAGCAAGTGATGTAATGCTACATTTCTCCAAATCTGATGAAGAAACAAACTCAACTACATCTTGGATGGCCTGAAGGTGAGTAAATATTCAGCAAATTGCATTTTTGGGTGAACTACTCCTTTATATACGTAAATTCAAACCCCTAAATCATTTGAAAGATGATTTCAAGAACATAATACAACTAGGATGTTAAAAGAAAAATCTTAGGCATGGATTTCTTGTCATAGCAGCAATCAAACATTCGAAGCTGTGAATAATATCCATTGGTTGCGAGTCAGCGTTACAGGTCTTTCAGGTCTTTCTGGATGTGCCACAGCATATCTGCGCTCTTCTTCAGCTGCGAGACCTCGTCGCTGGTCAGGCTCATGTTGACCACGCTGCCCACTCCAGCGCTGTTCAACACGCACGGCAGGCTCAGGTACACCTCGTCACTGATGCCGTACATACCCTGAAACACATGCAATACATTAGCATTTCCATCATCTGTTATAATAGCCAAATATGTGGGAGAGCATTGCTATTGAGTGAGCGAGTGAGTGACTGTACTGTATTCCAATAGGTAGCACATGTTACAATGGTTGAATCAAGACTAGTTAGCACGTAATTTATAATTGAAATGGTTTAATAACAATATTTTGTTATGGTTACACTATAGATGAAGGATGGTAAAACAATCCAATGCAAATGGCCCTTTTGTTACTCAAGATAGGTTTGGGACAGGAAAGCAGAAGTCTTTGATTGTGAGTCCTGTACTGACCTTCACCATGGTGGAAACGGGATGGACTCGGTTGAGGTTCTTCATGAAACTCTCTGTCAGGTCGGCCACACTCAGCCCGATGGCCCAGTTAGTGTAGCCCTTCAGTCGGATCACCTCATAGGCGCTGTGGTGAACACACGGTCGTGGAAGTACTTTATGCATACATTCACTTCTAGCAGAATAGCTCAAATTTTTTTCTACACAAAAATTTATTCTAAATACTATATTTGTGAGATGATACCTAGACACCACACTGAATTAAGCAATATAGTCATGTGATGACAATGTAGCATAGTGTTTCAAATGTTTATTGTTCCATACCGCATACTCATTCACAAACTATTTTTAATAAATAGGCAGGAAATCGCATAATATGCATTTTGGGTGAACTGATCTTAATGAGGAGTGAGAACTAAAAGAGCAGCCCGATGACGTACCTGTCCACGACTTTCTTGTGTGTTTCGTTCCAGTTCTCTCGGTCCGTGTCTATTTTAATAATATTTTTTTATAAAAAAAATTATTCATAATTGATCTTTATATAATTCAATTCATACTTTAATTTTATTATAATTTTTTTTATTATGTATTACATTAAATAATTTGTTTTTTAATAAAGCATAATATTTTAATAATATTTTTAATGTATTATTTTAAATACATTTCATAATTAATTGTTTATTTACAAGTATATTACATTATATATATTTGTCTGGCTTGTCTCACCGCTGGAGTCGCCATGTTCTCCCAGAATCCATCCGTTGAAGCTGCTGGGATGGATGCCCAACCTCTCGGCCATCAGATACCGAAAGCGAGCTGAGTCCAGGTTGGTCCCGCTGCCGATGACGCGGTGCTTGGGCAGGCCGCTCAGCTTCCAGGTCACGTATGTCAATACGTCCACTACACAGGCAGAAAAACTGTGTTACAGGCAAACAAAAGGTGAAGAGTATGGTACTGTGTGTTTATGGGTACCTGGGTTGGACACGACGATGAGGATGCAGTTGGGACTGTATCTGACGATCTGCGGGATGATGTGTTTGAAGATGTTGACGTTTCTCTGCACCAGATTCAGTCTGCTCTCGCCCTCCTGCTGACGCACGCCTGCCGTCACCACCACGATACGAGAGTTAGCCGTCACAGAGTAATCTACAGGACAACACCAGACGTTCATGAGGTTCAAACCACAGAGAAACCACTCAAAACGAGCGGGGTGCGAATTTTTGTGTGTGTGGGGGGGCTTCTTTTAAAAATCTAATTAATTTCATAATGTGCCGATTAATTAATCAAATTAATTAGATCAATTAATTAGCATGCACATCATGTGCTGATTAATTAAATGTAAAGTTATTATTAAAGATATTTTAAAGTTATCATTGTGTTAATTTAGAAAAACACTGAATTGATACTACAAAAAAAGTAGCTTAAGAAAGAAATATTTGAATTCAACATACAAAAATACAAATAAATACTGAAATATACGGTGGCAGAGAAGTGCTAAACAAATCACTTTCTGAATTGTTGTTGTGCTTTCCGAATTGTTATTTTGTTTTTTAGACTTGCATTTGCGTTTGTAATTTATTTTGTTTTCAGAATTGTGATTTGTTTAGCAATTCTCGGCCACCGTAGAAATATTAATTTTTTTTTTTTAAACAAACAATACTCTTAAGTATAAAACTAAAAGCGCCAGTAGGTGGCAGCAAATCGCTGTCTTTATAAGTGAGTTATTCAGTCATTCATTCAATCGATTCGTTCAAACGGCTGATTCATTCAGAAACTCAGCAAGTTACTGCTTTTATGAATGGCTCACTGAATCACTGACTCACTCGATTCGTTTAAAAATGTGGATTCATTAATGAAACACCACTCTGGGTTGATCAGAGACGCACAATTTGTCCTAGAGCTTTATTTTTGTTTGCGAAATTACTGACAACGTGTCTAAAATGTAATTATTCGGACCTTTACCTTATATTCATTTTTAAGTAAAAACCATTTTTTTTCTTTCTACCAGCCAATTTCAGGGGCTTTACATTTACAAATCAGTCAGGGCTATAGAAATGCATATTAATATTTTTAAGTAAATCTCCATATTATGATGCATAGGGAACTTTCTATCTGACCCTCCTACATCTAGTTTTGACGTGCATCAGGGGGGATCAAGCTTTAATTCGCACCCTGATAACGAGTGTTTGAGGAGGTGAGCGCTACCTTTGCCCGAGACGATCTTGGGCGTCTTTAGGAAGAGGCTTCCGTGCTGCAAGTCCATCATCTCGCCCTTGAGTTTGTCCTCTATAACGTCCACCAGCGCCAGCTCATCCGCCAGCTCCTGCAGCACCGGACCGGACACAACATCAAACCAAAAACTCATCAGTGCTACATTACATCCCGAAGTACATACTCATACTACACACAAGTATGCACTTCATTTTAAGATAATATTTATACAAAATACAAAACAGCTTCACTGCTTTTTTTTTGACAAATAATTATAAATGTTAATATGCAAAGAATAATATAATAATAATAATAATAATAATAATAATATAACACTAATAATAATATTAATATAAAAAATAGAAACAATAGAAATACTACTACTAATAATACTAATAATAAATACTAAAACAATATGAATAATAATCCTAATAATATGGAAAATAAATAATAAAAAGTATGAAAACAAATAATAAACATCAATATGAATACTACTACTGTTAATAATAAATGAAACAATAGAAATAGAAATAATACTACTACTAATAAAATAATATGAAACAATAGAAATACTATTATGAATAATAATAATAATAACAACATGAAACAGAAATAATCATAAATAATAATACCAAATAATAATAATATAAAAAATTAAAATAATACTAATACCACTCATAATAATAACAGTATGAAAACAATAATAATAATTATAATAAATAACACTACTACTAAAAACATGAATAATAATAATAAATGAGAAAATAGAAATAGAAATTCTACTACTACTAATATACAAATATAAACTAATCAATAGAAAATACTAATACTAATAATAAAAACAGTATGAAATACTAATAACAACAAAAAATAATAAATGAGAAATACTCATATATATATATATATATATAATAGAAATACTACTATAATAATAAAATAAATAAAATGATTACAACTGAAAACATGTTCTTTTTATAATAGAGGTGTATCAAAATCATAATCTCTGTGAATTTTAAATACTTTTTTTTTTTTACATTTTTGCTTTGATTTTGGACAAATGTGACTGTCACATCAGTGGCCAATGTAGGTTTTTCTCAACCTCATTTATTTAGTTGTTTTTCACCCCGTTGTGCCGGCCGCGGTTCTTCACCTTTAGTCTAATTGGACAAAGGGATCAAAGTCAAGCGTGGACAAACACGGCCTAAATCTACTGGAAAATGACCCACTTGACTTACTGACATCATCAGTATGAGCAAAATGTTCATAACCTCGTGTACAATCAATAAACCAACAAGGAACTTGTCCAGGTATATGTTTGTGCTGCGGTCTCAAAGTCCGGAGCATGTTGGCGAATGGCGAGTACAGCCTGTGACGATCAATAACGAGTCTCACCCGCAGCAGAACGCTGACGGCGCAGGCCATGCCGACCTGTCCCACACCCACCACCGTCACTTTGCTCCTCGGCGGCTCAAGCGGCCCACTAGACAGAGGAGTGATGAGCTTCTGCAGAACCGACGCCATGCTCAACACTGCAGAGGAACACGCACACGCTCACACACACACACACGCTCACACACACACATGCTCACACACAGACACACGCTCACGCACGCACACACACAGACACACGCTCACACACACATGCACACTCATACACACACAGACACACACACACACACACACACACACTCATACACACACAGACACACACACGCACACAATCTTTAATAGCAATTCAATTAATTTAAGAGCATTTGCAGTATCTCAGATGTTACCAGTAATCTCACGTATCTCATCTAAAGATCTTTACAGTATCTCAAGCTGTGCTCAAATTTGCCAAGATACTAAAGTCTGAATCAAAAGTCAGAGATCTCAATATGAACTCAGCAAATTCTTAGGCTACAAGATCAGGGTAATCATAGTTAACTAAAACTACAAACAATATGTTACTTGAACATCTCTGTTACATTAAATG